TAACAATTGACTTGTCTTCAAGTTCACTGATTCTCTTCTGCCAGTTTAAATCTGCTGTTGGGCTCTAGTAAATTTTTCATTTCCATTATTTTAATTTTTAATGCCAGAATTTCTACTTGGTTCTTTTTTTCTATAATTTATTTTTCTTTATTGATATTCTCTATTTGATGAGACACTGTTCTTATACTTTCCTTTAGTTCTTTAGACATAACTTCCTTTAGTTCTTTGAACATATTTAAAATAGCTGATTTAAAGACTGTCTAGTAAGATCAATATCCTGGTTTCCTCAAGAACAGTTTCTTTTTCTGTGTATCAGCCATTTTTTTAATTATTTAAATGTCTCATAATTTTTTGTTGAACTTGGAATTTTATTTAATATAATGTGACAACTCTAAAAATCAGAATTTCCCCCTGCTGTGTGTTGGATGTCCCCCAAAAGTTCATGTGTTAAAAACTTGATCCCCATTGTAATAGTATTAAGAGGGTGGGAAATCCAACTATGATATTTGAAAGGTGGGGCCTTTAAGAGGTGATTGGATTGTGAGGACTATGCCTTTATGAATAGATTAATCCATTCATGAAGAAATGGCTTAATGGTTTAATGGTTTATCATGGATGTAGACTGGTGTCTTTAAAAGGAGAGCACATGAAAGCACTCTTGCCATTTTTGACATGTGATACCTTGCATGTCCTTGCACAGAACTTTGTAGAGAGTTCCCAACCAGAACAAGGCCCTCACCAGATGCAACCCCTGGATAGTAAACTCCCCAGCCTCCAAAACTGTAAGGAGAGCACATGAAAGCACTCTTGCCATTTTTGACATGTGATACCTTGCATGTCCTTGCACAGGACTTTGTAGAGAGTTCCCAACCAGAACAAGGCCCTCACCAGATGCAACCCCTGGATAGTAAACTCCCCAGCCTCCAAAACTGTAAGAAATAAATTTCACTTTCTCATAAATTACTCATTTTCAGGTATTCTATGAGCAACAGAATGAACTAAAACATCCCTCCCTACCACCAGGGTTTGTTGTTTGTATGTTCATTTACTGATTTGCCTGGATTATTCTCTAAACCCTGTGTTCTTTGTCATTTGTATCCACTGAGGTCTGTCTGGTCCGCTGAGTAGTCAGGTAACGATTGAATTTCCTTAAATGCCTTGAACCAATAGGTTTCCAACCTTTGCCAAGGTAGTCTGTGCATGTGTTGGGGCACATCTTCAATGCTCAAGCAGGCATTTTACAAGTCTGCTTTAGCCTTCCACTTCCTGATGTAGAGCCTAAAGATCACCTAGAGGTAAGAGCTAGTACATTCTCAAGTCTGTTTTTTTGCAGTGATGAGTTACCAGTTCTGAAACTACTTTCAGTGTACCACAGGATTAAGCAAATAAGTACATATATTGAGAATAATGGGAGCCAGGTTTCTCACCATGGAAGAAGGGAGTTCAAACAGGGAAAGAGGAAGACTAGAATAAACCTGTGATGTTGAATTGAAATTGGAGGTATAGTTATAAACTTAAAATTTTAATAGACAGATAGATAAGAAATAAGTATAGATTTCTAACTCTGTCCATTTAGACAATCTAGAAGCTATGACATCCCAGTAGCAATTCATGTACCTAGTATAAAGATCTTGTTTTGAAATACCAGTCTCCACTAAATGAAAGTAGGGCTCCTTAGAGAAATGACTGACTCCAAGGATGGGGGACAGAAAAGAACAAGACACATCTGAAACATTTTATTATGCAGAACGTAAAGGAATGGTCAAAGAATGGCAGAGACATGAAAAGGACATAAGGAGTAGTTTGAAGGGGTTCTCAAAGGTCAGATTTGGGATAATTTAAGCCCCAAAATAAATAATGAGAGTAATACATTGTAACCTTTTGGGTAAAATGGGAATTCATGAATCCATATTGATAGAAAAGCATAAATGGGAGAAAAGATAAAGCTCTTATTTATAGTAAAGAGCCAACAAATAAATGCTAAATAAAAGATGGAGTTAGAAAATCACCATTGGATAAACATCACAGTAAAATTGATTCAGGCATCATCAATGGATGTTAAAACTAACAGGTGAGAGAGTTTGATAAAGAATAGGATATCTACTCAGTCTTAAGGTAACCCTCAAAATTATTTACTAATTAAAATGGGAGAAATAGTAACTTTACAAGAGATAAAACTAAGAAGAAACTACTTCAAGTTAACATTACCACTATGGGATAAAGAGACATCTTGTTCTTTATGTGATGCATTGAGAATCCTATCACTTCTGTAGCACTCCTGCCAAAATACATAAATAACCATAATCTATTCATATGAAGATATACACAAACCCATAACTGAGGTATATTCTACAAACTAACCTGTGCTTTTCAAAAAAGTCAAGGTTACGAAGACTGAAGAAGTGTCCCAAATTAAAGGAATCTAAAGAGACACGACAACTAAATGCAACATGTAATACCAGATTAGATTCTGGATCAAAAAAAAATTTTCTTCTATAAAGGATATAATTGAGATAATTAAAAATATTTTTAAAGATCTGTAGATTAGAACATAATATTGTATGAATGAAATTTCCTGATTTTGATAATTGCATTGTGGTTATAAAAGAGAATGTCTTGTTCTTAGGACACTTAAATTGAACTCTTTAGGGGTAAAGAAGCATCATGTCCAAAATGTACTCTCAAATGGTTTAATAAAAATAATAATGTAAAAATATGTGAAGAAAAAATTTAAAAAGCAATATTAACAAAATTAATAACTGCAAGATCTAAGTAAAAGGTATATGAGGACTATTATTATTGTTGTTGTTGCAATTTTTCTATAAGTCTGAAATTAATTCCAAAATTTAGAATTATTTTTTTAGGGCTGGCCCATGGCTCACTCGGGAGAGTGTGGTGCTGATAACACCAAGGACACGGGTTCAGATCCCATATAGGTATGGCCGGTTTGCTCACTGGCTGAGAGTGGTGCTGACAACACCAAGCCAAGGGTTAAGATCCCCTTACTGGTCATCTTTAAGAAAAAAAAAGAATTATTTTTTTAAAAAGAAACATCTAACTGAGATCAATGAATGAATTAGATCTAATATATCTATATGATTAAATATGGAAAATAAAACATTAAGTGAAAAAGCAAGCAACATACATACTGGATAATATTTACTTAAAAAATTTTTTTTTTTTTGTCTTTTTGTCTTTTTTACTGACTGGTAACGGGATCGCAACCCTTGGTGTCGCGCCCGTACCGGGGACTGGCAACGGGATTGCAACCCTCGGTGTTGCGCTCGCACCGCGCTCAGCCAGTGAGTGGGAACCGGTCTCCACATGGGATCTGAACCCTCGACGGGAGCGTCACCACGCTCCCAAGCGGCGCACTCTCCAGTGTGCCACCGGGCCAGCCCTTTTTTTTTTTTTTTTTTTTTTTTTTTTTTTTTTTTTTTTTTTTTTTT